AGAAAAATCCAATTGTTGTCAAACATGTTATTGTGACATAGAAATCATTATTCCAAAGCAATAATGTTTTTGTCTCTATTTATGCTCATTATAACTGTTTACCACAGCAGGGTTACTAGCTTCTCACCCAGTTGATTCAGATCAGTCAGATCATCAAGTCTGCGTCCATGTGAGAGACAGAAATGACACATGACAATTGTTCAAGACTGGAACGTGTTTCAATTACACTGCACACTCCTCGACATGACACTGGGACAGCCCATGAGTTGTATGTTACTGTAAGTACCGCTTTCCTGCCGCTTTCAGATCGTGTGGACACAACTAATCTTCACAGAAGTCACCTCACACCAGTGTTACAGTGCGCTCTACCAATCATGATTATCAGTCAAAGGGGCTAACGCCAAGCCTTTTAGCCTTCATCTAATTTTAAACCTAAAGAATGGTATTGTAAGTCTCAAATTAAAGCCAAAAAAATAGTAATAGATAGTAATATATCTAAGATGACTGATTACATTTGCTGGCATTAGATTAGCATTATACTGGTTGGATATTTAAATGAAAATCTTTTGTTGGAAATCCTTTCTTGGTCCTCTGAAAATAAGGTCTGTGCATGTGAACACCGACCTGTGTAAAAAACATCTGTGTGTATGCAGGCATGTATTAGTCTTTGTTGTCACTGTTGGACATTATCTATCATTTACATCTACACAGTGGGTCAGCTGAGTACAGTGATAGCGTTTTCTCCTCATCTCTGTGGGTGGTTTTGTCAGGATTTGAAAAGACATCTGTTGTGAAGCGCAGTAGCATTCCTATTAGCCCTGAAACCATGATAATAATCCATGGCCTGTCAACAGGAGATCATCCACCAGTTGAGTAGAGATGGCTGGTGGACTAGGTGGGTGGTGGCTGTGCTGCAGTGCTGACATTTATTCTCACACCTGAAATGGAAAATGGGAGGGAATAAAAGATGGAGAAATACAAATTACATCTCTGTTTTTCTGTTCAAAACACATACATTAAGTTCATATTGCTCCTGTCATGTCAATAAAGCATATCTGGCCTCAAACTGTCAAAGACTGGAAGAAATGCATGTGCATTTGAGTGATCTCTCAACCACAAACTGAATAGAGCGCAGGGTAACGTGTGGTAAAGGAAATCAATTGAAGTAACATGAAATGGATGGGGAGGCAGACGAGGCTGACAATCTGAAAACAGCAAAAAGTGAGGGTGACAGGGGTGAGAGAGGGGGCTGTGACAACAAGATAGTTGTGATAGAATGCGAAACATTTCTCTTTGAGTCAGCCATAAAACTTAAGCAAAGGCAGAAGTGGAGGCTGCGTCAAACATTTCAGCTGTAATGGGTTATAAAATGGGCTCAGTCGCAGCCTTCTCTGCCAAAAATCATTGTCCTCATCCTTGGGGGAGGTGACAGGGAAGGAGTGGTCGCCTTTAGTCCCGCTGCGAGAAATAACCCTAGGCAGGTACAGACTCAAGCATGGAAATGACAGGGCTTGAGATATATGCAGAGGCCCCAAAGGCACCCTGTCTACAAGCAGCTCTCTGTATTCCAGTTTATATGCTGGTGACTAACTGTATCTTCTGTCTACTGTAAAATGCTAATTTTCTTTACTTTCCTTGTCCCCAAGACCCTGGATAATCCACAGAACACACTGGGGATTACAGATTTGTGTGGGACTATTTCTCTCTTTCTTGGGTAGAATGTAGTTACACTGAAACCTGTTGAGTTACAGGGACATCATTCTAGTTTTTAAATGTTGCGACCACCACATGAAAAAGTCCACTCAACTTCATAGCATTGGAGTGAAACACATCATCTCAGAAGTCAAACCAAAACTATTTGTATTTCTGGAAACCACAAGAACTATGTGAGAAAACATATCAAAGAAGAAGTATATTCTCTTAACAAATTAAGTTGAATTCATAAATAATTAAATGTACTCTTGCTCAGTGCTCTTATTTGGTCTGGTATAACCAGTTGTTTATGGTGGCTAACAGTAGCTCATTTCAAGGCAACTGCGCATTGTTCTGATGGCAGATTATTCTGAAACCCCAATAGCCAAAAAATGTCCCACTGGACAGAAAGCCAGTTATTCCCGACAACAACAAAAAAACACTGCTCCAAAGGCCAATTTTTCTGAAAATACAGAGAGGGGAAAGGATATAGAGTAAGAGATATAGAGTAAAGAGAGTAAAATAAGAGAAACAAATACAGATTCTAGTGAGTTCAGTCAAGCAGAACACACACTTCCACAGACACATCTTTTGCGTCCATTGCTAGCAAACAGGCAGTTAACATCTGTACAGATGGTACATTGACTGTTTTGAGTAAACAACTACAAATGATCCAGTGGTCAGATTTGCATGACTGACACAAAGACTCACTGTACTTTCTGTCTGAACAAATACGTCTCAGCATTTAGAGTGCAACTGTAATTTCCACATGTGGCTACAGTGGCCCATTTTCAACAAAAATCAAGGTGCTGCTTTGCTTCAGTGGGCCTGGGCTCATCACGCACATGACGTGTTTGCATGTCACGTTTCTTATATTAGCGTTCAGTCAGTGAGCTTGTTCTTCTTCCTTCGTCCTACATGAAAGTTTCCTTATGGGTGGCCATTTTCACTTCTGCATAAGCCTTCTTATCATCCTGTCATTCTAAGAATGTCATGTAAAATATCATGTACTCAACTAGCCCTATGCATGCTCACGCTCCAAAACATCCACCCACACGTAACCCAAGTCTGTGTTCTGTGCAATCTCTGCACCACTCATACGAGAAGTCCTGTTGTCATTATGTGAATTAGTCACACTACGCATGAGTAATATATCTAGTAAAGAAAAGGTTCAGATAGAGAGGCATTAAGGAGGAAGGAGGAGGAGCTGGAGCAGAGGAGAGCTGAATAGAAGGTGATGAATGAGATGACTGAAGGCATTGAGAAAGAGCGAAACAACGAGAGAGAAGTGGATTTTAAATTATATGGTGGCTCATGTCAGCAGCTGTAATTAGTAGCTTGGTCAGGTGTGATGAGTGGGACAGGATGTATGAAAAGAGGGACAAACCACCACAGAAACGAAGGAGAGTCCGTGAGGAACAGAATCCACTTGACACATGGCAATAAAATATGAACTTCGCTGAGGTGGAGAAAGTGAACGAGAGCAGTGTGCATGGGGCATGTATGAATGGAAATAAGCTCGCAAACACACATACAAGGCTGTTGTTCACAGTATGTCGCGTGTCAAGCGTGTGGGTGACGAGTCTGAAGATTCAGGCAATTCTTAAGCTTGCTGGCTGCCTGCCAAGTCAAATGTTGCCTTTGGAGAAAAGAACAAGGGGAGAGCAGGCTGGGGTGAAAACCAGACTACAGATAAACTTACAGCATGACACAAGTATCAACACATTCTGGATCTCACCCCCACTGAGCAGTACAGAAGGACAGCTGGACACAAGTCTCCTGAAAGGGAAAACACAGGATAAAAACATCCCTGCATGCACCAGAAAACACAGCATTCACAGTGTTCCATTTATTTTTATTTTAATTGATGCCACAGTTTAATTTTACAGTCCCCAGCACTCCTCAGTAGCTGACCATTATAAGCACTTGTTTGAAAGATGCCAAATAAACTCAATTGAATATAACCCTAACCTCTGGTGGGAGAACAATAAGCAGAAAAGATTGGAAAATAACTAGAAAATACCAGGATACAAAAGGATCTATGTTCAACAGTCTACATGTTTAGTAGGCAGTAATAGTGTAACCCCACTGTCACTGTCCTAAAATTTCAGCAAAAGTATATTATTTTATATTTTATACGAGAATAATATATTTTGTAGTCTTACATCATAGAAATGAAATGAAATATGTTGGGTATCAATCAGCAATCAATCAAAATAAATCAACAATTTGTTGAGAAAATAAGCATGAGATTAATCAATAACAACAATTTCAACCAAAAGCTGCTGTCATTTATACTATACTGTCATTCATATTTGTTGATTTACAAAAGACTGAAAACGTTTTTTATTACCTCCTCTTTGTGGTAGATCACATGTTCCAAGATTGCACTCATTGTCAAGAATTATTTTCATTTTTTTTGTAATATCAAGAAATTGGGTTAGTTACATACAATTTTCTGTGCTCTCTACTCACTGAAGCTCAACATTAGTATTAGTAAGTATGAATCAGTGAGTCAAACAGGCAACACTCATACAGAGAGTGGAAATATTTCAGTGTGCAGCTGTTAGCTAGCTTAGATGAACAGTAGGATATTGAATTTCTTCAGAAGTGTCCCTTTTCAAATTGCATTTTAGTCATTTTAAACTGACCATCTGATTAAGATGCAGAACACAGATATAACAGGGGATAACACATTTTTCCTTCAAATATGCCAATTGTGTATGTGTGTCAAGATCAAGAACGGTTATTCCAGGAACTGTCTTCATGTCTATGTGGTTTATGGTGTGACAACATTGTGTGCTACATTTAATCCTGTTTATGCAAACAAGATCTTCTATGACGTATTTCAAGCTTAAATTGAATTTATTTGAAATGGCTGCTTCACACCACACAAGCACCAACATTACCTCATGTCCTCTGTGCTGCGTCCTTGACTTCCGAACACAACACAGGTATGCCTAAAGAAGGGGTGGGCGACTGTCAGAAAATGAAGATGTATTTGTCTGATCCGGACATAGCTGGGTGACAGGCAGGGCACCCCCCTGGAGAAAGCCTCACGCCCCGGGGCAAGAGAGTGACACACACACACACACACACACCCACACACATACACACACACACAAACACTCTCCAAGGAGGAGTCATGGGGCAAAGGGGAGGAGGGGAAGGGATCAAGAGAGGAAAGGAAGTGTATCTCTCGCTCTTTCTCTTTCTCTCTCTCTCTCTAAAAACACACCTTCCCTCCTCCCATGCAAGAAGCAAGAGAAAAAGTCACACGCTCGAGTGTTCAGTCGCGCAGTAAGACACACACAGGTACACAGGATACTGAGGTTTGGTGAGAGAGGACAAGAGACAGAGAACAGCCACTGGTTGCTCATAGACACTCAAGGTTTCAAGGAGGGCACTGACAGCCTGCTCTATGTGTGGCTCCTCTCAAGGCTTTACAGTAAGTGTGCAACATCCTTATTAATACTAATATGTAATAGAAGATATAAGATAGAACAATTTTATTTCCCACCAGAGTGGAAATGTGTCTTTTAGACCAAGAATTTGAGTTTTTTTTACTTATTCATTAATTTGTTTTTTGCATTACAACACTGCCCTGGAAACACAATTTGAAAGTAAAGTAAAGACTGCTTTCTAGACTCAACATGTTACATGTTATCCTGCGAGCCACAGCTGTGTGCCTTTGACTCATCTTGATTTTCAGAATATATTTTATGCTGTGTCACTTGCTGCGATGGTTTCGGAGTGAGCTGTCACACTTGTGACAGTCATTCCGAGTCAGCTGTGGTGACACACTTCAGAGAAAAATAGAATGAAACGTCGTCCATAAATCTCATCTCGCTGCACTTTTATTTGCATTCCTTTTTTTCTCCCTGAGAAAAAGGGGATGATAGTCCGTTTTTTGTTTCAATGTAATTGTGCAGGATTTAGGAATTTAATGCCATACAATCTTTGAACACAATTTTTAGTTAAGTAAAGGTTTTGAGTTGAGTTTGTTCTCAGGACTTCAGGAGGAAACATAAGTCACATGAGTGCCTAACAAATATTACCAACCACAGACTTTATCTATCACAATCTCAGACGTAAACTGATGAGCCTGAAAAAGGAAGTTCTTAAAGGGTTTGTTGCAGTATTGTCTTTTAATCACAAGTCTTATATCTTCTTCTCTTTCACTCTTCACTGTTTCACCATTTTATCCTATCAGCCAGGGTACTCAGCCTTTGTTAAGGCTGAGGTACCTGAAGACAATCTTCCTGAGAAGGGAGGGATGGACAGTAGCAAACAGACAGAAAGAAAGACAGTTTGGCTGAGAGCCAAGTCCCAGTCAGTTCAGAGGAAGTCTGGTCGATTCACTGGGAATGTGGATTTCCTTGTGAAAGTGTTCCTGCTCCGGGACTGACGTGCACTGGAACCTCCCTTATAGCCTAGGGGTTGTGATATGGAGAGTCACAGGATGTATGGGACAGTGGGGGCAATGGGGCAGCAAGCACAAAGGTTCCCCTTTGAAGTTTGTTTGTCCGGTAGTAGCAGTCGTTGGGAAAGTTAGATTCTCTGCCACTTTTCCTCCTTCTTAACATCCCCAACTTGCCGCGGCCTCCTCTGTGCCACTCGCACTCTGGAGTCTAATTTTAGCTCCATTCAAAACTTCCCTTGATACTTCAGCTATTGTTTGTATTGTCTTTGTTTTTTCCCTTAAATTGTGACACAAAAGGAAGAGGTAAAAAGTAGTCAACAATTAGAATTACAGAAATATGATGGACATTTAATAACATGTTTCCCCACTTCATATCCCTATCTCTTCTGTAGGCCTCCTCCTCTCAGTGCACCACAGCCATGTTAACCTCAGAAAGGCCACCGCAAAGCTCAGGGATCATCACAGCAGCCATGCCAGAGACACAGGATGTAGACATGACATCATGGAGCGAGGCAGACTTTGAGAAGTGCACTTATATCGTGAAGGACCAGCCTCTGGAGGAAGAGTTCAAAAACAACTGCAGGTCACAAGCTGAGAGATCCTTACCCAGGAACCTGGCTCTGAAACGCTGCCACAACTCCACAGAGGTACGCAGCAAAGCAGACCTTCCTTGTTTGCGTGTTATTCAAATTGTCTAAGAAAGTGGAGTTTTAAGGAGTCCTTACCTATTTTAAGAACCAAAGCAGGAAAATAATGCAGAAAAAAAGCAAACCCCAATATGTCCAAGTGATATGTAAGCATATATGCTGTGGTTGTTTATGTTTTGTGTAACCACCGGCTCTTTGCATCACTCCAACATCCTTCCATCGACTCATCCATCCTCAGGCGGGAAGTACTTGACATGTTGTTGTCTAATTTCAGCCTTTCCTCTCTGCTACGTATGTGTTGAGGCAAGGAGAAAGGCAAGCCCTTCAGCACACAGCCTGAGGTCTCTATGATTAGTATTCCCAACCCTTTTGTCCCAGGACACAATTACACCGTAAAGCAGAGCACCAGCACTGGGACCCACCTTACAGACAACACCATAAACAATCTTCCAGATTAAGTGTGTGGTAGTTACAGTGATTTTAAGGGCTAGGAAATTGCTGGTAGTGAGGTAGATACACGATAAAAGATTAACGCAGTGCATTATTCATGAATAGGAAAACCTTTGGTTTCCTCATGCAAGATTCGGGTTGAGCCTCTGCAAATGAAAGATGGCAGTCGAGTGAGATCAGTAGCCCGGGCGTCTGCAGCAAAATACCTGTACTGCCACTTTGACCTTCTAATAAGGTCTGTCTGGAGTCTGGTTGACACCAAAGGGAAGGATACGTTACAGTAATCTGTGACACAGGGGCACCTCAAATGGGGTTCAAACAAAGCCAATGAAAGCAGGGGTAAAACTAGCTGGATAAACTGGAGATAAACTCTATGGCTAAGCATGCAGCGGTTGATCCACAACATACACCATGCTACTACTCCTCCAAGATGAAAGAGAGAGTACAATTCCATTGCTTTAGGGGATTTGAACACGAAGCTCATGGTGCAGTTGACTGGCCGGGGTGTGCCCATGACACCTTATACTCTCTTTCACACCCTGGAGGCTTGAGACAGAGGGGTGAGTTTCGCACCTGGAGGTAGCAGAACAAGAGTAGTGGTGAAATTTTAATATGGTAGAGAAACTAAAGATAACTTGGGCTATTGGTTTATGAAATATTCAGCATGTGAAAGAACAAACACATTCTGTCACAGCCTAGCAAAATTTTCTCTGTGGAAAATTTGTTATGACAGCCAATATATAGTAATAACATCTAATTACTTGGTTGTTTATTTAAATTGTTTATTTATCTTTATGTGGATAGTAATTCTCAGGACAATTTTCCAGTGAATTGACATGATCCTCTTGCTAATCACCAAGAAACAAGCAGGGGGTGGAGCATCAGATAAGGACTGTATTCCCAAGAATCTCATCCCTCTAATTATGTTTTTCAACTCTGAGTGCATCCGGCTGCTTGCCCAGGCCTCCAATTTGTGAGCTGCTCTGTTGTTTGATGATTTCATGTCCTCCTTGTTGAACAGGTGCTTGGGGTGACCAGCAAGGAGCTGATTCCTAAGGGGACACGTTTTGGCCCTCTGGTGGGGGAAAGCTACACCAATGAAACGTTGCCGAAAGATGCGGACAGGAAGTACTTCTGGAGGGTAAGAAGTGGGCTCCATGTGTGTCTCTGGATTTGTCTGCCTGCATGTGAAATTTATATGTGTATGTTTTAAAACCGTTTACATCCTGTATCTCCATCTGGAGGCATTGCTGTGGCTGTGGCTGTGGCTGTGGCGTGGCACGAGTTAGCAGTTGTGGTTAATGCCTGACATCCTGTGAAAGTATGACTCTAGATCAGATGGGTTTAAATGTGCATGCCATGCACTGTTTGCCAGTTCTCTGCATGGCTGTCTGAGGTCACACACACAGCTGTTTGGTTTCAGTGACGCAGCGGTTCCCTCTCTCTCCGCTTCTCTCGGCAGTGGTATCACTGCCAGTAAATACACCATACACATGTCCGCACTTCTCCAGACTCACAAACTCTCACACTGACTAATCAAGGAAGTGGCTTTAAGCCTGAGAACTGTTGTGTTACAAATCAGCAGCATCAGGACATCTTCCATTACACACAAGCGGCGTGTAATTCTACAGTTTAGAGTCAGCAACCTTGAGATCATGCAACCCCAACTGAAACTTGCAACAGCCAAAACACAGACAATCTATTAACATTACAGCCATGACTCAGGCGACAGCACAGCTTCAAAGAAGAGGCTGCATAAAGAGCGGTTGAGGAATAACTGTTTAAATGAGCTCAATTTAAATAGCCTTTAAAAAGGTCATCAGATGCAGTAATGATTCCACCACAAAGTCAATAGGGGAGAGTATTAGTAGGCGAGATAGTATAATTAATACTACAATCCAGTCATACAGTGAAATTCTTGTTTAGTGTTTCGCAACCTCGAATTGACTTGTGTGCCACAAACAGAGGCGGCACCGATGTCAGCTGAAAGAACATACAGTATTTACCATAAAGGCATCAGGAAACCTGTGAGATCATAGTTTCAGATTTAGAACACGGCACAATACTGATTTGTCATCATCAACTGACTTATATCTCTCGCCCTGTTATCTCACACTGTAGGTCTTCTTGGATGGGCATCTACACCACATCCTGGATGGTTTGAATGAGGAGCGGAGCAACTGGATGCGTTACGTCAACCCAGCCTGTGCTGTGAAGGAGCAGAACCTGGTCGCGTGCCAGCACGGTTTGAACATCTACTTCTACACCATAAAACCACTTCAGCCGGGCCAGGAGCTTCTGGTGTGGTACTGCCCTGAATTTGCCCAGCGCTGTAACTACCCCCCACTGGGCCAACTGGCTATTGACAGTATTGGTAAGTGTGTGAGTAGTTGTAGTGTTCATTTAGGAATAGCACAACAAGTTTTTCTGGACACCGTAAGTTAACAGGAACTATTCTTGTACCCGCACTTTCAGACACATCTTTTGTGTACTGTCATTGTAGCTCCAAATCAAAGCGCCGGCCGACTGACACACTCTTTGTATGGGTGTTTAAGAAGTTCCTCAGTCACACCCATGGCCTTTTTGTTAAAGCAGAACACAAAGGAGCAGAGTAGAGTCCTGAAAGCGGAGAGGCTCTGTCTCAAGATATAGCCATAGTAACTGAGTAAGATAAGACCAATTTCAGGACTTTAGGCAATATTTCGGTTTCCCTTTATTTTTTTTTTTACCCCCACATAGAAACACAGCTGGCACCTCTTTGATTCAGCTTTCATTCACAAACACAAAGAGTGCACATGCTTGCAAAGAGACCACATGCACGCACCAAAATACTCTTTTACACACACGCTCACACACAAGAGGCTGCCTGAGGTGCTGACAGCATTCTGGCACGACTCACCTTATTTATTTGGCTCTTAAGGAGGAAGAGAGGTAGGAAGCGCTCCAGTGACTACTTGAACTTCCTGACAAGGCGACCCGCTGACAGATTGATATCTCACTGAGTGTCGGCTGTTTGTTTGCTGAGAGCTGGCCTCTCGTGAGGGGGGGGAGGGAGCACAGGGGAGCACACAGTAGATAAGAGTTGTTCTGTGTTTGTGTGGGTTGATGTTATTTGTGTCCAAGAGTAGGTGAAATGTACATGCATACTTCTGTATTTTGTCTTCCTCTGTTTGTCAGCTCGGGTCCTCTGTCTACTCTGGAGTAAGTCAGTTAAGCAGAGTCTCTCCTCGTGACTTACTGGGTATAAAGTTGAAGGATTTGCTCAGATTAAATCCAGATTTGGATCCAGAGTTAATAAATGTGACCTTTGTGTAGAATTTAGTGGAAATTAAATACTATTTATATGTCAGTTTGTCACTGGTAGCCTATATTTTCCACTCTGTCAAGCATCTGGAGTTCATTTCAGATAAAAAATTAGGTTCTTATCCTGTGTATCCTGCCCTGCCTGTGGTGAAAAGTACTTTCCAACACTCATATTGCGACATACTGTACCAACTAACTCCATGCTATCTGTATCCTGATCAGACACCTATTGTTTCACATCTGGTGTCCCCTTTCATAGCGAGCCAGTGCAAGTCTGGGAGACGAAACACAGATCTTCTTATCTTTAAAGCATTTAAATCACAGGTTGGACTGAAAGTAAAGATGCCTGGGGCTCTCAACAAGGAACTCTACTATACACTATGTCTAAAAATAATTTCACCTGTTTCTGATGTCACTTCTCTATTGTTTATTTGTCCCACAGAACAGAATCAAGCTCAGGAGAAGACAGCAGGGAAAAGAGGACACAGTGTCTCTGAAATCCTCAGAGACGAGCCTTCCAAATCCCTGACTACCTGCCCCAAACGTCTGGACAGTCCTTTGTCTCAGACCAACCTCTCAGCGTTTTTTCCCTTGTGTCCCCGTGTTGTCTACCCAATCCAGCCCCACTCAGAATCTATCCACGGCCATAGATATGCAACTCTACCATCTCTGCCATCCTGTAGCCCTCCAGCTGCCAAAAGGCCAGCTCTAAGCAGCCCTGTCCCCTCTAGTTTGCACTTCACCTTTCAGCACAGTCAAGGCCCTGCTATAGCCAAACCTTACCAAGAGCCTTCTGTGCCTTATCGAGTTCCTCCTGCTCTGAAGCATGCTCCCTATCTACTGCCTCACTACTCACTCGGCCTTAACAGCATTCTACCTCATTCATACCCATACTACAGCGATCGACTGAAGCCTAACTTAACACTTTCTTCTCATTTACTGCCTTTCGACGGCTATGCACACTTCCTCCATCCTCTGGCCAACGGACACAAAGACTTGACCCTTGCACTATCCAACACCAAACAAGACCTCATTCTGTCACCAACCAGTGAGCACAAAGGCAACAAGGACCTCGTATCCAAAAGGACAAACTACCTCAGGACCTCCTCAGATGATTTTAGAGATTTCAAACACTCTCCTCCCAGCAATGCCAACGCAGACCGCACTATACCTGCCGCATCCAGTACCTCACCCGTGGTCACCTCACTTCGCAGAGCACTGCCCTCTCTTGCAAGTGGAGGACGCTCACCACCAGTGGGCATGGGCGCCTTTTCAGACTGCCTTCCTTCCAAACCCACCTCCGCCACTCAGAACAATACTGAGGATGCCATGGACCTCAGGAAGATGAAACAAGGCGGGCAGATTATTGGCTACAAGACTCTGTCTTACCCTCTCACCAGACAGAATGGAAAAATCCGGTATGACTGCAATATTTGCGGAAAGGTCTTTGGGCAGCTGTCCAACCTCAAGGTTAGTCTTCTTTATCATATTTGTAGAGGAGATGGGGGAAAATGGCAGATCAAAAGCTAAATACAGTGAATGTAAACTGACTTGTACACCACTTAAAAGTGGCTAGAGAATATAAAATGTACCAGCCACCATGGTTTCTTGAGTTGACGGTCTAAATAAATGTAATAATCTCTGACATGCTGTCCTCAGGTCCATCTGCGAGTGCACAGCGGAGAGCGTCCCTTCAAGTGTCAGACCTGCACTAAGAACTTCACTCAGCTGGCCCACCTGCAGAAACACTACCTTGTTCACACAGGAGAGAAGCCTCATGAATGCAAGGTATGGCTACAGTGATTAAAGAAATAGTTTGATTTATACCACTCTCATGTCTGTAACATATATATGTTGTTGAACGCAGCAGTCAGTTAGCTTTGCTTAGCATAAAGACTGGAAAAATTGGTAAACAGCTTCCCTGGCACTGTCCAAAATATCATATGTCTATCTTGTTTGTTCAGTAATTGGGACTACAACAAAAAAAAAAGATTTAAAAACATTTTCTCCTTGGCTCTGTTTTGACACAGGTGTGCCATAAGCGGTTCAGTAGCACTAGTAACTTGAAGACCCACCAGCGGCTACACTCAGGTGAGAGGCCTTACCAATGCAAGCTCTGCCCAGCCCGCTTTACACAATTCGTACACCTCAAGCTCCACAAGCGCCTCCACACTGGAGAACGACCTCACAGGTGTCCCCGCTGCCCCTGTGCTTATCTCCACTACTGTAGCCTTCAGGTACATCTCCAAGGCTTCTGCCCTCTCTCCCCCTCTGCCTCCCAAAGACACTCACCAGAGGAGCTACATCGAGTCAACTCAGAGATCGAGAGGTTTGATATGAGTGAGGCGGCAGAGCAGCTCGAGGCCATGGCTGCAGAGGCAGAGATGGACAAGGGGAATGTTATTGACCTAATAAAGAAGATGGAGACTCAGACTTCTGGCCACCAGGATGGTGCCAGAGAGGGGACAGAGCTGAGCATCTACAAAGCAAAGGAGTGTTCTGCTGTTCCGCTGCATCGTGGCAGCCCTCTACCTCTGCATCCAACCAGCATCAAGCTGGAGTCTGGCTGCATATCAGAGCCCTAAGACAGCCCTGCTAATCCAGCCATATAATCCTTACAGGTCAACTCAGCAGCTGTCTGTTACTGCCCTATTTGAAGTAAAGCCTTATCTCAATCATGGATTGCCTAGCCTATACTCTACAGTAGCATGTGAAGAATCAAAACTTTACCAGCATGGCCTGGGACCAGTGACTTGATTGATTTAACATATACATCTTTGTTAATTTATTCTGTTGCTAATATTAATCTAAAATGTTTAGAAACAGAGATTTGTGATATTTTTGTTGTATATTTGTTTTTGTATCTCTGGGACATCTTCATGAACAACTAAAACATGTGATTATACATAAACAAAGTTTGTCTTTATTTGTGGTTTAACTGTGTGAGACTGTTTGCGTTTGTCCTAGTGACAATTACTGTACAGACATGACTAAGTAGTGCAAGTTGGCTAAGTGTTAAGATGATAACACAGAAGAAGAAACCTCAGTTGTTTGTGTGTAACGTGCAGTATAAACTGATGTGGGGAGTTGGTGACGTAGATAAACATCCTGTTATGAGTCTTGGAATATTTACCACCAGTAAGTGCGAACTTTTCAGCGTGGAAAAAACACTCAACAAAATAATCTTCTCTGTCACCAAGGTCCTGCTACTAATTTTATACATGCACTTTCATATTTTAGTTCCAGTATTAATCAGCTTTATATCAGACAGACTATAAACACACAAAAAAATGACTGTACAGCGTATTCCAAAATATCAAAACACAGGTGTTAGATTATGACACATCTCTTAACCAAAACACAAGCTGACTAGAATAAACATTTACCAACATGTACTGCTGATACTGCATTGCTAGATACAAAGAATGAACTTTAGCCTCACATCCCACTGTGGCATGAGGCCAGACATGCTCTGTAACTTTTTGTGCAGCAGCGTTCTGTCATCCTCAGGTTACATCTTAAAAAGGGTGTCAGGTGGCGCATTGTTCAAAGTGGCCATCAAATGATTAGACTACTTACAGCATACAGAGCATGAATCTTTAATGCTGATGACACCCTCCTGATATGGTCACAACCGTTGCCCTCCAGCTGCTCTGGAGCTGATCCCCAGCCTATGGAAGAAATGGGAGAAGAATGCCCCATCAGGAATCAATAAAATTATATTATTTATCTGTTACCGTGGTGCTGAATAATTCTTGCAACACAGACACCCTGCAGATCCCTGTGCTGACCTTGACTTGTAGCTATGGGAAGAAAAAATTCCAAACAGATCAATCCCATCTATTATTAGGAAACGGGTAAGATGCACCTCCAGCAAAACATTAGGGCAATTATGATTTGTTGTTCAGAGGTGGAGAGGAGGTGAGCTGTGTACAGTAACAGCTACGGTGGCCGGTCGGTAAACTGATGCCCCTTTAAAACCGCCCAGTGACGTCATATATTTTTGACAGGGGGAGCAGGCAGCGGGAGAAGGAGAAGAAGAAGAAGGAGAAGGAGAAGGGGTAGCGGATATGCCCAGGGGTGGAGGATGCCCAGGATAATGTCCCCGGGTTTTTCGCTCTCCCACCTGTCCGTATCATGATAAACGCTGTCGGGGCGGTCGCCCGCAGGATGCCGTCCGCGGCCCGGCGGAGCGGATGCTGGATAGCGTGGTGCCAGGCGGCGCTGCTCGGCGCGTCGGCGCTGGTTATCGTGGCCGAACGGACCGCTCGTAAGTGGGCATAGAATTCCCCTCCGCTAGCGGGCTGTTATTTACCCTTAAGCTGGTGCGAGCTGAGAGAAAATGTATGGAAAACAAAAGGGGCAAGGGGAGTGTTGCATTTGTGTGGAGTATTTGTCGCTGGCGTGAATGAATGAATGAATGAAAGCACGCTGTTGCTCAGCCATGATGCTTTCCCAGCGGTAGGTTCAGGAGCACAATTAAAACGGTGATTGCTGTGGCTCTGCCGTTACTGCTGAATAGGCAAACCGAGCTACTTTCTTTTCTTTTCATTTAACATTGGCAATGGTCAGCCCAGCTAGGTTGGCCAAACTGGGGCCCCCTAGGACCACCAGGGGTCATACAGCAGGGGTCACAGAGCCGACAAATCATTACATCTAATAGTTAAACTCAGAAAAAGGCTGTCCTTGATACCTATGGGAATCACCTTTTGGATTTCTTTTGCAAAAACACATATTATTACACAGGTTATTACTATAATATTATATGTTTTTATTATTAATACCAGTGTATTTGAATGAATGCACATCTGGAGTCTATTAAAAACACTGTGCAGCACTCTCAGGGGTGATGATTCCCTGACTAAGCAGATCAATGGGGCAAGGGCAGGACACAAGAGAGACAAGGTGACTGCATGTGTACAAAGTGTGACTTTGTCTTCAGCAGGTATACCATTCCCAGAAGATAAAAATACTGTGCTGCTGCATGGACTGCACACTGGAGTCACAGAATAAAAAACAATGAAGCATTAGTTAAAATGACCAATATAGTAGGAAGCACTGTCTGTCCCCTGACAAGTCATTATTTAAGTCATTATTTTCACAGTGCAAGAAGTCGTCTGTAACTAAAGAGAAATAATTGCAGGCTGTGTTAAAACCAGGAGTCAGGCTGTGGTCTGCTCTTGGTAGAGCTTGTATCATCTCTTTAGAACAGCTTCCTCTTAAGCTTCCTTTAACACACGGTGCTCTTTAATTTCTCAAGGACTCAGTTGGCCTCTGCAGCTCTCAACAAATCCTCACACACACGCTGGATTTCATGTGTTGTGTCTTCCTTTTAAAACGGCATGACAAGGCTATATATAAATCAGACTGTGCTTAATGATATGAATTCTCTACTGAAAACAAACCCACTAGACATAGAAACACAACATACTTAAACTAGTGTATCTGCTGTTTGTGTGTGTGTGTGTGTATTAGTGTTCTACTGTATAGGGTTTTACCTTTGGAATGAGGAGACGCAGTGGGCGGGCCTCACTCTCGGCCTCTTTCTACCGGGGACGGCAGTTCAACTGCTCAGTATGAAATGGTACTATGATGACGGGGATGACAGGCGATGCTACCTCTCTGTCATACACATACTGCACTTGGGCATCTTCAAAAGGTAAGAACTCCAGATATTACATTACAAAAGATTGCGTCATTTGCAATTATAGAAAGTTCTATTCATATCTGTCTGTCATTGAAACCTTCACCAGGAGGTTACTGTGTATCACATCTCTGGTATCTGTGTCTGTCTCCCTCTTCTGGCAGGTTATGGGACTGCATGAGATCTGTGTTGCGCAGGCAGGACTCGGTGGCTGAGCTTGGAGCTGCTGTCATGCAGCAGGCAGATGTTGCTGCCCTTTGGCTGCTAGAAGCCCTCGTCCTCACGCTGCCACAGAGCCTGCTGCAGGCATATGTTGTGGTTTCCACGGATGTGGGCATCATGTCCCCAGGTACACTGATCTTAGCTTGAATTATCGGCTCTACACCATGTTTGTGGCGTGTCAGCTGAAGTCTGAATAAGAGATAATGCTAATATACTTACTTTTTCTTTTTACCTTTAGTGGCCTATTGCTGTGGTCTGTGTGTGCTGTCTATTTCCTGGGCCCTGGTGCTGTACAGCAGAGCCTGCTGTCTGATACGACCGGGCCACCTGGCCATGCCTCCGGCAGCCCTGTTGTGCCAGCTGGTGTGGAGGGCTGGCATGCTGGCTGCAAGGGTGACTTGCCTCATGTTCTTTGCCAGGGTCTTCAACTGGTGGGTCTGTGGAGTAGCAGGTGAGCAGCAAGCTCTGTGGGCACTTTGTTTTTGTAGCTGACACTTAAGTGTGACACCTTTTGAAAGGAAGACAAAGGGTGCAATGAAATAATAAATGATTCCAGTATAGTAACATAATACACAAATGCAAACAGAGCTCAATGACTAACCCAGGTGGAGATTCTTATGTTCCTTATGACTCATACTTTATAAATAATACCAATCATCAGATAGATTTTTATTCATTTGAACTTAAGTTAATGAGTGATGTAATTATTCTTGCAGTGATGCAGCATGTCCTCTTAATCTAGTTTTTTCACTTGCTTCTCTGCATCAGTGTGATACATTGCATATGGATCCCCTATTGTGCTTCTATCTCCTGATCTATTTTTACATTGACCTCCAGGTTTCCACTGGCTCACAGCCTCCTTCTGGCTGGTATCACAGCAACCAGACATCTGCACCGGCCCCTGGTGTTGGCGTGCCTTTAATGGCATCATGGGGCTGGTCCACATCTTCCTCTTCCTCAACGTCAAAGACGGACCCTCGCGCTTCCGCATGGCCAGTTTTTATGCAGTAAGACTTCTGATAAAATTGCCGTTTCTCATCTTTGTTTTCACTGTGGTTGATTCTGGTGATGTTTTCAATATGCTGTTTTGTATTCCATGTACACCACTGCCTCATCGACTTACACACAGGGCACCTGCACACACACACAGATATACACACAGGCAGATAGTTTGCATTGTCATCCTCACCTCTGCGTCCTCAGCTTACAGTAAAGCTATCTGCAGATGACTGATGGTGTGACCTTCTCTCCTCTTTCAGTTCATGTTTGTAGAGAACGCCACTCTGCTTCTGGCCGCCTCTGACTTCCTTAGCGAAGCATCATGGGACAGCATGACCCTTCCCACCACTGTGCTGTGTAGCTTTCTCCTCGGTGAGTCACTCTCTATCTGCACTCTCTTTTTTTGTTTTTGGAGCAGAGTTTGTCTCAGATGTTTTGATGTTCGGTGCTTATAATTAGACTAGTGTCAATGTCTAACAGTTTCTGTGGTGTCTGAGTAATAAAAGCCCAATGGTGATTCAAATGGGTTAAAAGTAATTCTAAGTAGGACAACACTGCTGTCTGTTTTACTGTACTATATATATGTGTGCTACTTGTTAAACAATAACAAGTAGCACAAGTAACAAACATTAGGGATGTAGTGCAAATGTAACATCCTAACAAATATCTTAGATGTCTATATGCATATATATGTACACACACACACACACACACACACACACACACAGTAAATAAAAAGTGAGCTGTTGGATAGCAAAGGGTAGGATCATAGTGAGAAGGTCAAATGCTGGTTCCTCTTATGTAGTTACTGTACTTGCCTGTGAAGGTCTATCTCCAACAGCAGAATTTAATTTATGCAAAACCGGGGTGGATGCAGTGTGATTTGGACTATACTGTATATAGAATAGCAGTTTCTCTTTAAAATAGTAGACTTTTCTGACTTTTCATTGTAGTGTAGTATTGTACTGTATTGTAGGTCCATATTATATATACTATAAGGTTGTAGTGATTAATTAAAATTAAGATCAGACCCTAAACAAGACTAATCTAAATAACATATATCCTCTGATGCCTTTATAAACTAACTATATAACCCAAAGTATTCTTCAGTTGATCATTGCCAGTGAATTGTAGAAGAAATGTTTCCTGTAACAAGAATACAAAAATACACAACACATACTAAAATCTACTTGTTCCTGTTCTCTGCTTCCCAGGCGCTACCTCTCTTGTCCTATACTACCGGTTCCTCCACCCCAAGTCCACAGAGATCTCCCAGGGTGTGAACCACAACCACATGGGTAGCACATGCATAGAACAAGGGGAGTCCTCTTTCTCTCTCAGGGACAAAAGCCTGCCAGCTCCCTCCATTCAAAATCATGGCAGCTTTTCCCTCTCAGGTGTCGCTGGTTCTCTGCTGGAGCACCCAGGAACTTGTGGAATCCAGCCTAACAGCTCCTGCCCTTGCTACCACCACCACTGGCTCCTAATCCGACTGGCTCTGAAAACGGGAGACCTGAGCAAGATCAACAGAGCGTATGGGGCCGGCGGAGCAGCAGCCATACTGGACATGGAGGAGTACAACCAGGAGTTTAAGAGCAACGAGGGCATGACCATCACCGCAGGAGGCAGCTGCGAAGGTGTCTCCACCTCTGAGTCTCAGGGGAAAGGCCTCGCACCACTCTCGGACTGCAAAGACGAGTTCCAGAGTGTAAGCGAGCCCACGTCGACGGAACAACCTGAAGAAGAGGACGACAGTCTGGAGATGGAGAGTCCACTGGAGTCACCCGCATCAGATTTCAAACGCAGCTCACCCGAGGGCAAGTCTGTGTTTGGTGACAGTCCAGAGCCATACTTCTGCCCTACCGAGTCAAGTTCAACCTTATATTTCAGCGCCGATCCTCAGTCTCCCAGCAGTGGCAGTAACCCCCGTTTGGACCGGGACATTGGGGGTCTGGAACACGGGGTGCGCCTCAACTCAATCCCCAGTGATCCTGCACTTCACAGAGATATACGTGGGCTCATGGGCCGGGTCGGGCCACGTTGTACTTCCACTCCTAAATTGGACTCTGGAGTGCTGGACTCCCCATCTAGTGTCCCCCATCTCACAGGTCCCAGGAGGCAGCTTATAATGTCCCGAAGAGATGAAGATGACAACTTCTAGCTTTCTCGAGACAGAATCAGGGAAAGAGCTACAGCAACTTATCCAAACCAGCTTTTTTGAAAGGCTGCTTTTTCCATCTTCTCAGTGCTTTAGGATGAGCAGGCTGGCAGAAATTTCACCTCTATATGTCTATATATTTAGCACACTGTGGAGCATAGTATATGCAACAGTTTTGGGATAATGCTAAGCTAGCCTGTGCTTTTCTCAAACCATAAGCTATTTTCTAAAAGCAGTGGCAAATGCTTGACACACAGAGGTGAAACCTTTTAGCAGTGTTTTCATCAGACACGGAGGAGATCATTAAAGAGCTAATTAGTTACAAAGGCGGTGTACGGAGCTCAGACACACCTTCTACCTGACATAAACATATTTTCAATTCTTTTGGCAGCAATTAACTTAAGCCTCAAGAATCATACTGTGCAAAAAAGTGAATACTGGTTCTGCCAGATTGTAATTACATATTAAAGACGCAGCCATGAGTTATATCAAAAACATAAGAAATATGCAGCTGTTTTATGGTCTCGGACAACTGATCATCTCTACATTACATACTGAAACTGCTGTTATTCATTCTAATAATTGCCAGCAGGTATGAGAATAGAGAAATGAGTCCCCGATCTAAAGGGGGAAGGAGTGTGGGACCTCAAAATTGTAACGATCTCAGCATAAGCCAGGGCTTTGTTGGCTTCTTAAAAAGCACAAGTATCTTCTGTATCATACGTCTATTGCTGTGATTTTTTGTTATTCCCATAAAAAAAGAAAATCCCTGATCCCCTCAGAGAATAATATACTGTATTTTTTGTATAATCATGTCAACAGGCATTGCTTTGAGCAGGGCTAGTGTGTCAGCCTGGCAAAACTCTGTTTGATGTTTTAACTTTATTTACATGTTGACCATGTAATTGCTAAAAATGTTTTTGGAATTTACATTATGTTGGAGGGGGAAAAAAATAATGTCTCAGGCACTAACTTTAAAAAGCTTTCCCATGTCTATTGTGTAACAAACTGAACAAAATATGCTTATGAGGGACTTGTAGTGACTTTTTTATGTGCTCTGCTATTTCTAGAGGACATTTTTTCTCATTACTGTTCTGTAAAAGGAATGAAATCCACAAACATAGCAGTAAAACGATGCTGGGTCTTCCATTGCACCCAGGTGACTGCCTATATGAAATTTTGAACTGTGAAGTGCAAAGCCACTGGTGGCTTTAAATAAGCAATAAATAGCCTACATATTGGCGTGACTGGAATACAAGTGTTTGTAATTATTTAATCAATGTTCTTATATTTATAAATTCAAAATAAGTGGGGTTTTTTTACATTTAAAACGTGCAGTACTCTGTGATCCCTCAGGTCGAAATGCTCTCTTGTCATGTCAGACTGAGCTTATTGTACAAATGGACTGAAAGAAGGTATTTATGGCACTCGCCCTTTAAGAAGTCGCGCATGCGCAAGCCAGTGAGAAAGTTAACTCCTGAACTTCGTAGTCAGAAAAATTCAGATTTATAAAATACCAGGGAAAACACCATTGAGTTGACATGGCATTCCGCCGGAGGAACAAGAGTTACCCTTTCTTCAGCCAGGAATTCTTAATTCAAAACCATGCCGACATCGTCTTCAGTTTGGTGATTTTCATTTTGATTGGATTGATGTTTGAGGTGAGATGAACTCAGATTCTCGTTTTCTTCCCCCTCGTCTCTTCTCAGCTGTTTTTAAGATGGCAAAGCCTGCTTGCACACTCAAAGATGTAACTCGGTCGCCAATTTGAATCTCGTTCGGCCGAAATGATCTTTAGCTCTGCAGGGAAATGTTTGTTTTGCCTGCATGTGAGCCTTGTATCAGTTGTGATCCGTTTCGCGGATATGGTGGCTGCTTGCTGCTGGGTTTTTTTTTTTACCCAAAAAAAAAAAGTTTTTAGTGAACAATGAATGTTTTACTGTTCGCAAAGTAGCAACGTATAGTTTTAAACGGAGCCAGAAAGTTACAGTTGACAACAGCAAGGGTGTAAACTGTAACTTTCTACGCGTATCGCTACTTTATATGTAAAGTTTTTGGTGTCTTGCTGTGCATACTTTTAATTCCAAGAGGAATTCCTCAAACCGGAATACAACTGAGAACTCATAAGTTGGCACACACGTTATGTAGCCACTCAAAACCGACTTATTTATTTATTTCCTAAAGTTCACATTTTACCCTTCATGACAATGTCTTGTTCCAGTTTCCAGGCCACTTCAACATTTTGATTCCAAGATTTGTTAGTTACCACAAAGAGTCCAGGTGAGACAGGAAGTAAAGCGATTTTGGCATTCAAAATAAAAGCTTTTGAGTGTGTTTCCAGCACGCCAACGTCGCTGGGGGGGTTTATTTTGAAAAACGCAAACGGAAGAGGTTTGACTTTACGTCGCTAGCTTGGCAGTGGAAGTTAACTGCCACGTCTCAATCTTTGAGCCGCTGCTGCTGCTGCTGGCTGAGGCTCAGCTGTACTAAACACTGTTTGTGACCTGGAGGGACTTCACCACAGACTCGCAGTGACTGAATTAATTAGGTGTCTCATTAGCTAATAGTGTCTCCTACGGGCACACAAACAGGACTCCCGGGCCGCCGCTCAAGCATTTAGCAAAGTTTCAATCCGGAACCCTGCTTGTGATCACACAGCTGGCCGAGTTAAAAAAACAAAGCACAATAAGTAGGGGATTTCCTTCATATTTCTCGATTCTGAGAAAAGCGAGAACAGTGCTATTGTCTTGACTTTTTACATTTTTACCGTTGACAGGCCACCTGTGGCCTCGGCGCGCAAGGAATGACTGGTGACATGACTGGTGACTTGTTGCACTGTGGTGCCCAAACTGGGGCCACGGGACCAACGGGGTCCTTCAGGGGACTCAGTGAGGAAGATCATCAATATATCTACTAAGATTGTATTGCTTGAGACAAAATTGTTAAAAATCTCATCAAGTTCCCACTCAGATGAGTTGATTAAGACATTTCTGCCATCTTTGTAGTGTTAAAACCATCAGTTACTATTGAATATGTTTGGGTTTTGGACTGGCCGAGAGAAACAAGCAATTTAAAAACAGCTAATTGAGCTCTGGGAAATTACAATGGGCATTTCCCTCTGTGTTCTGATGTTATAGAGACTAAAATATGAATCAGTTATCTGCAATTCACAGATTAATCAGTCATCTGCTGCAGCCTTACATATTTATGTCTTATGCGATAGTTACTCAAATGAAACAATCTGAAATCTAAAAAATAATCACCATTTAATTGAACTAATTCATAGATGTACACAAACTGTGACGAGGGGTTGCAGCTACAGTAGATATTGCTTCCTTTATAAAGCAGCCACAAGCAAAAACAAAAAGGTCAGGGGAAACACTAGTCTGATGTATGTCTCTATTGGGGATGCTTGACATAAAATAATTTGGGACGCTCTGTTAGGTCAATACAAGCCTTGTCACGCCAGACACATTTTTCAACAGCACTGCTTGAGGAATTCCGCTTCCAGCAGGCAATTATGATGCCACGGGGGCGTATTGACTGACGGTATAATAAACAACATTATATATTCTGAGAAGCTAGGATTCGCTATCCCCCTACACACACACACACACACACCTCTGTCACAAACCTCTTGAGGTTACATTCAGACAGGTTCTCTGAAATGTGTTGCTAATCACCATCTTGTCTAATTTTCAGGCAACAGCCAAGACGGCCATACTGTTCATTCAGCCTCAATACAATGTCACCACACTATCACCAGGTACGCAGCGCAGTTGAGGAATTCTTATTAACTGCTGATTTGAATTTGCTGTCTCTGCCCCACAGTTCATACATTTCACAGTTTCACTTCTGCTGCTGCTGTTCCTGTAAATTGCATCATTACATTACTGTCATTGAACTGTGAATACAATGCTCCAGGATGTTTAACACACCTCCTGATTGTCCTGTGTGTGCTTAGAGGGAGAGGTGACGTTTTACCATTACGGATGGAAGGACTGCGCCACCATCCTCTTCTATTTTTTCATCGCCATTATCCTCCATGCAGTGGTGCAGGAGTATCTTCTGGATGTAAGTACCCAGACACTGTGGCACAGTGAATCAGTCACTGTAATTTTACTCTAGGTCTGACAGTGAGAGACCCTGGCATTTTGTAGCTGCTTAGTCAGCAGCATGTACTGTACTGAAAGGACAAACAAGGAAACAGATATTACAAATAGCTCCCTGGTCACCAAGAAGAGGCAGCACAGCAATGAGGAAATACTAAAATGAGAGTAATGCTTTATTTTTGTACTAATTGTAGGGAAAATATGAATTTCCTTGAAAGAACTGTTCCGCTTGAACCCAAGTAAATATTCATTCATTATTAATGTATAATTGTAAACTTTGTAAGTCCACATTTGTTGAATTGTGCACAAATTAGTAGTGTGAAAACTTCAACAATGGATCTAAGTTCTCTATGATTAGTATCAAATAACCTATTGGAGATTAATTCAAAAATTATAGACTCATACATTTAAGTGTTACCAAAATGAGGTATCAGTATTAATATTAATATTTTTAAGTGCATTTGATATTCCATCAATAATAAGGAAAGTTAATGAAATTATTTGTCCTTAAAAAAATCACAAAATGTGATATTTTTAGAGCAGGATACCATTTGATACCATTAACTAAGAGATTAAAGCATTAAAGCCACTTTTTAGATAATTGCAAAAATGTAAACTTGATTGTTACAGGGGCCACGCGGAGGTCAATGAGTGTCATGAAGATACATACTGATGGTGTTAGCATCCAGCTGCTTAAAAGGGCATTTTAACATGAGCAGTTTGAAACATACCACATAGAAATAAAAAAAGAGCAGCACACTGACTGTTTTTCATACTGACAACAGGCTGACAACTGACATTGCTTGTTTTCTTAGGATAGAGTTGTGGAGCCAGGAAGAGAGAGTGGCATTTAATCCATCTGAAAGTATGAGCCCTTGTGTCATTGTTTAGAAATAGGCCAGAGAGGAGGAATGGTGTTTTATTTTAGCACCGTCACCACAGTTTACAAAGTGTCTTGAAAGGAATACTTCTTCAGAAGAGGGTTTTCATCAGCAGCCATAAATAGTATCTGCTGTCTTTTCTCGTCCTAGTTATTTGTATTACAGTGACACTTCTTTGTGCATGACAATGACAAGAGTCAACATGCCACCCATTATGACTGGGATCCAGCTGCATTCACATGATCTGTTGTATTGTTCACGTTGCAGAAAGTGAACCGGCGTCTCCACCTCTCCAAGAGCAAGAATACCAAGTTTAATGAGTCGGGTCAACTGTGTGTGTTTCACTTGGTGTCAAGTGTGTGGAGTTTTTACATTCTCATAACAGTAAGTAGGATTTTATAAAACTTACAGTATTCAGTGACTATGTCCTACTTCAGGAAATTCCACATGTATTCTTAAAACTTATCATGCACTAATAAACAACAGTATAAAGTGTTCTTTTGTCGGATTTCTCCACCCAGGAGGGATATCTCTTGCATCCCAGCAGCCTTTGGGAGAACTATCCCCATGTACACCTCAGGTATGACTGACGTCAGTGACATATTTACGTAAAAGGTATCCATATATCTGAGTACTGGGGTTGCTACTGAAGTTTTTATTCATTAAAAGAAAAACCTCAAAACTTCCCACAGCCCAACCAATAGTCAAAACAGATCCAGTTTACTATCATAGATATCTATGAAACCAGGAAATATTCACATTTCAGAACCAGTTTTAGCAGTTCTAGCTTAACGCATCTGCATCCTTTCTGTATTTTAGTCACAGTATTAATGGTATCAGAACTACATTTCGACACAGGGCCCTTTGTAAAAATGCAGGAGCAGTCTTAAGACCCTTACCAGCTCAGTTTATATTGTACTTTAGTGGTGTATATTTCAGAACAAGTATGAAATTAATCAAAAACCACAAATTATTTCCCACACCATGAATCTAGAGACTCTGGTGCCACCAGTTGCTTGTTTTGGTCGGTCGGTAATCCAGCTTTGAGCCAAAATGTTAACATGCACACTAACCAGCTGTGTTAATTATAAAGTTTATAGTCTGATTACGATCCAGCTTTGGCAGCCACCTGATTTCAGAAACATTCACGTGTATGGGGAAACATGGGTTCATTTTTTTAGGTGATTAAAAAATAACAAATTTAACACAATAAACACAGATGGATTTTTGCTGGATTACTCAGCTGGGTCTACACTTTTGCTGTATTATCCCCCCCCCCACCTGGCCAATCTCCAGCTGTCCTATCCAATAAAGGCATAAAGACGGAAAAGTATATTTAAAAAAACGGAAAAAACCCAAAACCTGTATCGTAAAGGTTGTTTTAATTTTTTGCATAGTCAAATAAATCAAACCAGGAATGTATCACTATGGCAGCGGTGTAAATTGGCCGACTATCTCTCTCTCTCTGTATTTCTGCTCCAGGTTTCAGGTGAAGTTTTTCTACCTCACTCAGCTGGCCTACTGGCTTCATGCCTTGCCAGAGCTCTACTTCCAGAAAGTACGCAAGGTCAGTAAGGAGGCCCTGGGAATTGGAGGAGTACTGGAGTGTGACTTGATAAGCTGTGTGTATTTGTGTGTCAGCTTCTGTAGGCTCTGCATGTATGTGCATCAGACAAAGAGTGAGAAAGAACAAAAGAACTCCAGCAGGCAGATGTATAAACAATGTGTACACACAAAAACCATGCGTACACATTTTCCAACACATAAACTGGTACTGTGTACACACAGTTTAAGAAAGTTATGTGTGAAATGATGAGGTGGACTTCAAATATAAGATCTAACCTTTATAGTAAAACATTGTTGGTTTTGACTCTTTAGACTTATTTTTCAGTGTAAACACCTTACAATTGTTACTCAGAGATGCATTTATTACATGCTGAAACACAGTCAGTTAAATTGCACTCTTTCTAATGTGCCGTCCACAGTGGTGGAGCAGGGACAAGTATTAGATTAGATTCTGCATCCATTTATGGATAATTAATAATAATAGCTTGGGCATGTGAGTCTGTTTCCAACAATGATTGAGATTTATAAAAACACAGATCAGGTTACATGTGTGCTTTTATTAGCTGGTTGACGAACAAGAATATACATATTTCTCTTTATGCATACAGAGTGTTATGCATCCGGCACCTTGAGTTGACAGTAATGGTACCTTTGCAAATAATGGCTGTTTGTTTTTCAGGAGGAGATTTCTCGTCAGCTCCAGTACATCTGCCTGTATCTGCTTCACATCTCTGCAGCCTATTTGTTAAAGTAAGCATCCAGCAGAGGGACCTTTTTGAAAACCTGCGATTTCAAAGGCTTGTCAAGGAATAGCGAGAAAATACTTGAGAGAGAAAAAAATAATGAAACTCCCTGAAATCTAAGTTTGCAACTCCTTGAATCAGTTTGTGGCCCTGAAATGTTTTTCTCTGCAGCAGCAGATTTTTCTGCACTATTCAACTTCATTGCTACTGATTATATAAAGTACTTTAGATGCTTAGATGTAGTTATGATCTAGAAATACTGTATATGGTTCTCATAGGACCCTATATGGATGTTCCCCACTGGCTTATTTTCTTTTGTTGCCTAATCTATCACCCGCTTCTCGTCTTTCTTGTGCAGTATGACTCGCGTGGGTCTGGTACTCCTCTTTCTCCAGTATGTGTCAGAACTGGGTCTCCACATCGCCAGACTCTTTTACTTCACTGATGAGAACCATCAGAAAATGTGAGTAACCTAAATGGGTTTAATGGTTTTGACATTTGTCATTCATCTCGGCATCTCAGCTCTTTTTTATTGACCACATATTCACTGTGTCTTATGTTTCAGGTTTGACATGTGGGCAGTCAGCTTTGTGTTTACACGGATGGTCACTCTGACCTTGATGTTCCTGGCTGTTGGGTTTGGTTTGGCTCGTGCTGAGAACCAGGGGCTGGACTGGGAGATGGGCAACTTCAACACTGTACTGATAAGGTAATGACCTATGCCCAACATCGGTGGATAAAGATTAATGTTCTGGCACTGCAATTACTTTTTACAGCTGTTTTAACAACTGTAAAGTCGAAAAATACACTTGGCGGCCATAAAAAAAAAAAAAAAGTTGACTTTTTAATGTTTTATTGTTTTATAACATAAAGTAGCCAGGAATTTTGACACTGATTGACAGAAAATGACTCTTTAATTTCAAAGTAAAAACACATCTACTAATTGGTTAAATGGGATGCGGGGTGGGCTCGGGGTCAACTTACTAGAAAATTTAATGTGTACAGGAGGGGTCAAGTGAAAAAGCAGCATTCAGAGTAAGTTGTACAGTAGTTGTAACAACTTAAAGAAACATTGCATGCAATAGTCCACCTTTTACCTTCCTTCCCCCTCTCTCCGTCACTCTTTCTTGCAAACACACATGTCCTGGAAATGTGGACTTTCTACACAGTGCAGCCAAACACTAGGCTAAAAAAGACAGTATGGACTTACAAATGTAGGCAACAGTTACAATTCAGTGTTCAGATGTGAAGGATGCAATGTGGAGTTTAATTGCCAATATAAATATGATATATTATAATAAACCCAATGCCGCCCATGTATGTCACAGTTACATTAGTTACATATACTTCATACACTCACACACCAGGGCCAAAAAGTAATTTTATTAGTTCGGCATTCATTGTCAGGTTCATTTTCCAAAACACACAGTTACACTAATCTTCTTGCCTCTGGGCCCCTTCAGGATGACTGTTTTACTGCTGGTATGTTTGACCCAATCTTGGCTACTCTGGAAGTTCATCCGCTTCCAGCTGAGGCGCTGGAGGGAGTTCAGACACGAACAAGCTGTTCGCAAGAAGGCTGCCACAAAACAAGCCTTACGGCCACTGAAGAGAGACTCGCGTGAGTATTATACACGCTCAAACAACACATTTTCAGGGAATGTGACTTGATTCCTTACTTAAAACGAGTTCCCTGCTTCCTTGATTGTCTCGGCATCCTGACTTATCATCTCTGTCTCTCCTGCTAGTTGGTCACCATGAAAACGGAGTTCTTAAAGCTGAGAACGGAGCCTCTCCTCGGACCAAAAAACTCAAATCCCCATAAGGCAAAACACTGACTGGCCTGAACAGTGGCCTTAGCCCTGGCTAAGGTTTCTCATCAGCACAACAAGGAAGCTGGCGGCCACTGGCCACCAAGCTTCTTGTTGAGTATGTCCTGAGATGTTACAGAGACTCAGTCACTACAGACTTAGGCTTGAATGCTGGAAAATGAAATCCAAGGAAATCCCTCGAGCCCGACAGACATTTACTCATCATATCAGTATTTTTTTATACACCCACGCAGCCTGCTATCCCACCCTAAGGAGCACCATTGTATGCAGAAAGATTAAAATGTAAAGTGAACGCACACGTTACTGTGTGTGTTGAATGAATGTTGATGCATATCCTCATACATAAGTACTGTATTGGTTGTAGTGTTGTCTGATGTTGCAGCTGTTTTCAGCTCTTCCCATTGAGCCGGCTTCGCTTGTTTTCTTGTCTGGTCCATTGGAACAGAAAAATGTGTGAGCTTACTGTATGCTGGCCTTAACATAATCCCTTTACTGTGTCAAAGAAGGGATTTTGGCCAATAGAGTGGTCACGTGGGCTCCCCCCCCAATGATTTATGTCTGTTTAAAATCCTACATTTGTCACTGGTCACTTAACAGATAAGCATCAAGTATGTATGTTGGATATTACTGCATGCCATTCCATGTTTTTTTTTTCTTTTAATTGTTTTGTTAATTACTTTATTAAATAATGCAATTTTCTGAAATAAGGTGTGGACTTTTTTCTGCATTTTCTCCATTTTCATTTAATACCCTTTCGTCAACAAAGGCATGCAGAATTACATAATTATTTTTTTTTA